TCGCTTTGTTAAAGCAGAAGGTAAAGTCGGTTTAAGCCAACTAAAAGAGAGGTTTGTGGCTGACAACACCTTCATAGGGCTCCCTGTTGCCCGGTGTCATAGCGGTGATGTTGGCCTGTTGCTCTCCAACCTTCTTGCTGTACCCAAAGCAACGGGTGATGATGATGCCACAAGGATGGAACCACTCACAGCACCAGGCTCTTGGGGACCTGATCCCTACGAGGCTCCCAGCAAGAGGCTTGAGCTGGGAATGACAGGACTTGACCCTCACCCTGTGCCTTCCCTTGCAGCACGTGAAAAGCAAGGCCACCATTGACGAGATCATGAAGGACCTCGATATCAACAAGGATGAACAGCTCAGCTTCTGCGAGGTGATGCTGCTCATCACCCGTGTGACCATTGCCACCCATGAGCACCTCCACGATGTTGAGAATCAGCAGCAGCAGCAGCACAAGCACCAGCAACACCAACACCACTGAGGTGGGCTGAGGTCCATGGCCAAAGGCACCCAAGGAGTGCATGCAGCCCCGGCTTTCTCCCCTCCATCCCTCCCTGCCCATCTCCCTCCATCCCTTCCCTTCAAGTTTGATGGTTTTGCTGCCAAATAAAGATGAGCCCTGAGGCTCTCAAAGCTCTTCTGGGTGTCTGCATGAGTTTTCCTTGAGGTCCTGCACCTTGCTCTCTCCCAGCATGGCTTTCAATGCACCTTTGTAGCCAGGCTGCATGTTCTTGGGGGCAAGGTGGACACGGGGGAGAGCAGGGTTCATCATTGCTCACTATACTCCTTACATTATAGCTCCAAAGCTCAGGCACTATGAATTGACAGGTCTTTACATTTCCAATGAGGAAGAAAGCCTGGTTTGGCCTGAGAACACTGTGCATCTCCTAGGAGTGAGCTGCAATGAGCTGGAAGGAAGGAGAGGGGTGGAAGAGCACTCTTACTTTTTAGGGCACTTGTGCTTTGCATGGGGCTGGAAGGGAGCTGGGGGTGGATGTGTTCGGTTCTAGTGCTGCAGCCAGCAGCAGGGTCCAGCTTTGTGTGGACAAGAGCTGAGCCCAACCCCAACTCCTCAGTGGGAGCATCCCCAGTTCACACTGAGGGTAACTGCTGTTATGAAGAGCTGATTTCCAGCAGGTGGGGCTGGGAAAGCCTTTGAGCAGCTTCGTGCTGTTTGTGCTTAGAGCCTGGTACTGATTTGCAAGTGTCTTGTAGAGGATGGGGAAAAGGAACCTTTGTGATGTTCTAAGGGTGAGTCAAGGCCCTGAAATTGCCCTGCTCCAGGAAGGAACCTGTCGTGAGCTTCCCCAAAGCAGCAGCACTGAAGCAACCCCCTTGGTTAACACAAGACAGCCACAGGTTTGCTTCACCACGGCTGGCCAGGTTGCTTCAGCTTCCTCTGGAGGCAGTTTTGACATCTGAACTATCAAACACCTTCTTACCTCTGATCTCTTAATCAGGGGCTGGAGTGACAGGACAAGGGGTGATGGCTTCAAACTGAAATGGGGGAGATTTAGGTTGGAGATAAGGAAGCTCTTCCCTGTGAGGGTGCTGAGGCGCTGGCACAGGGTGCCCAGAGAAGCTGTGGCTGCCCCATCCTTGGCAGTGTTCAAGGCCAGGTTGGACACAGGGGCTTGGAGCAACCTGCTCTAGAGTGAGGTGTCCCTGCCCATGACAGAGGGTTGGAAGTGGACAAGCTTAAGGTCCTTTCTAACCCAAACCGTTCTATGATTCTGTCTGCAGGGCTCAGAGTCCACTCAGCTCTGCCTGAGCCTGCCCAGGGTGGCAGGTCCCCACTGGAAGTAGATCCTGCACCTCAACATGGGTGATGTACCATATCCTGCAGCACTTTGGGGACTCTGAAGGGGGTAAGAGCCTCACAGCCAAGGGGGAAAGTGGAGCTCGTCCATTGCCGCCACCCTGCCAAGGTAGAAATGCATCACCTGCCAAGGTAACATGAACAAGAATCAGAGACTAGTTTGGGCTGGAAGGGACCTTAAAG